TGCTAACTGCAGTACTTCAGATTTTAAATTTTTGGATTAGAGAAGCTCAACTGGTATGTATTCTGCAAATATTCCAAAAAAGAAAAAAAAAACTGAAAACACTTCTAGTCCCATGTATTTTAGATAACACTCAACTTCTAGATCTTACAATTCTTTTATATGAACCATTTTATCTATAAACAAAAATAATTTTACTTCTTTCTGTCTAAACTTTTTGTTTTTAATTCCTTTTCTTGCTTTATTTCACTGGCTAGGTTCTTTGGAAGAATATTTAATAGAAGGTAGGAAAGCTAATGTTATTGTCTTATTCTGTAGAGAAAATATATATATATATATATATATATATATATATATATATATATATTTTAACCATTTAGGATGATGTTACCTGCAGTTTCACCATAAATGCTGTTTATCAAAATTTCTGTTACTTCTACGTTTCTGATAAGTTCTCTAAAAATTAAGGATCAACACTGAATTTTGTCAAATGCTTTCTCTGCATCTATTGAGATAAATGTATATTGGATATACATTCTATAAAGTGTTCTATAGATGTCAGTTAGGTCATGTTGGTTGACAATGCTGATCAGATCATCAGAGTGACATTGAAGTGACATACAGTGACAACTGTAATGGTAAATTTATCATTTTCTATGTGAAATTTATCAGTGTTTGTCTTATGTATTTTGATGCTCTATGTTAAGAGTACAAATGTCTAGAACTGTCATGTCTTCCTGAAGAATATAACCCTGTATCACTCTGTAATTGCCATCTTTATTTTTTTGCTCTCCCTTGTTCTGAAGTCTGCGTTGTCTTAATTCAATATAACTACTGTAACTTTCTTGACTGTGTTAGCATAATATATTTTTCTTCAATGCTTTACCATTAACCTGAGTACTTAAAGTATGTTTCTTTTAGAGAGAATATAGTTAGGTTTTTTGCCTCTAATCTGACAATCTCTGCCTTTTAACTAATGTGTTAAGACTATTCACATTTAAGGTAATTTTTGATAGAATTAAAATCTACCATCTTTATAACTCTTTTCTATTTGTTGCTTTTCTTTTTTTCTTCTATCTTTTCTGATTTTAACCGAATATTTGATACAATTCATTTTACCTTGTCAACACACCTTTTATCTTTCCTTTATAAAAAAAATTTTTGTGTCTGACTTACAGTTAACAACATATGCTTTTAAGTAATCTAAGTCCACCTTCAAATAACACTATTCTTCATACGTATTGTAGGTACCTTAAAACAGAATTCTCTATTCCTCCCTCTATCCCTTGTGACATTGCTGTTATTCATTTTATTTATCTACATATAAAACCCAATGTATTATTGTTATTATTGCTTTAAACAGTTAACTTTTAGATCAATAAGAAAAAAGGAATTTATTGTACTTTCATTTATTGCTTTTCTGACATTCTTCCTTTCTTTATGTTGATCCAAGATTCTGATCTATATCATTTTTCTTCTGCCTGAAGAACTTCTTTTATCATTCCTTGCAGGGCAATTTGCTGGCACTGAATTCCTTCAGTTTTTGTTTGGTTAAATCTTTCCTTACTTTAATGTTTTAAGCATAATTTTATTGGATATGAAATTGGCAAACTTTTTTGTTTCAACTCTTTAAAGTTTTCACTCATTTCTTCTTAGGAGTTTCTCATTAGAAGTGTCCTGGAATTCTTATCCTTTTTCCTCTGTCAGTAAGGTATGTGATGTTTGCTTTTAAAATTTGGCTCCTTTCAACATTTTACCTTTGTGGGGGGTGTGTGTGTGTGTGTGTGTGTGTGTGTGTGTGTGTGTGGGTGTGTGGGTGTGTGTGTGTGGTGTGTTTTACAAACCTCTTTGCCCTGTTTATCACAGCCTTCAAGAGTACTGGGATTCCCACAGCTTTTACCATCACAGGGCTGGTAAATGCATATTGGCTCAAGTCCTGAAAGCTATTTTCTGTACACTTGGCACTTGTGATCATTTGGGTATTTGCATTCACTCTTAGAGAGGCAGGGGCCCGAGAAGAGGGGAAGAGAGTGGTCTTCTGAGACTTCAAATAGGTGAATGTCAAAAAGATGTAGACCAAATGGTAATCTGAAATCATTCTCTCCGTTCCCTAAGTCCCCAAATAATTCCCTGCTTTCTTTTCTTGCCAGAAAGTAGGCTTCCCTTAAAATGAAATAAAGGCATGTTTTTCGACACCTCCAGGTGAGTCTTGACGTGAATAATAGCATAATGCTGGCATGTAAAAGGAGCCAATAAATGGTTAGCTTAGTGGTTTACCTATATCATTTCATTTAATTTTCACAACGTGTCTCTGAGCCAGGTACTATTATTTTTATTTTGGAGATGAGGAAGTGAGGTTAAGTAACTTTCCCAGGTTAAGCAGCTTGCCCAAGATCCCAACAAAGTTGTGATTTCTCAATACCAATTGTGTTTCACGAAGACCAAGTTTGCCATTGAAAGCATATGACAACTATTTGAAATACATACCTCATTCCCACACTCCTGTCCTCATGTCACTTAGCAGAAAACCTTGGGAAGTGGGACCATTTATTCCATAAGAGTTGAAGCATGAATCTTTATTTCTGAGGACCGTAAGCCTGGTCCTCTTCAAACCATTATAAATGCTTATCCTTCCCTCAAGGGGATCTCATAATTCTCACCCCTAATAAAAGATAACACTGCTTTCAAATAAGATCATGAAAAAGGCTTTGCCATTACTATCGCACAGACATTAAGAAACATTAAGCAGCCATTATCTGATGAAGGCTACCATAATCAGGCAAATGGTTACTAACTGATTGATTACTTTTAGGAGTTGAATAACTGACTCTAGATGGGCTTTTCTTATATTCTTAAGGGAGGAACTAAGAAAATGAAATCTAGACACTTGGAATCTAAGCTAAGTACCCACGCTGCCTTCAGAATTTCAGAGATTTCATCCAAAAGGGCCACTGGCTCTAGTTGGTAGTGGTAGAGAAGAAATGCATAAAGGACCATTTCTGTATTTAAGATAGAGGATTTTACTCTCTTGTTTATTAACTCAGCTTGAGCTACAACTGGGTGTGTTCCCTATATATTTAGACATACCAAATGGTCAGCAGGAATCTATGATCATCTAGGCTCTGCATTTTTTTAAACATTTAGTGCTGGAACCCTTTTTCAAAATCAATCAAGTTTTCTGTATGATTCAAATACATACAACAGACATAAAGGGAGCAGCTTTGGTTCACACACCCACCTCTATCCAAAGCACACCCACATCCCTTTGGCAGTCAAGGGCTCCATGAAACACACTTACAAAACCATCGACTGAGACCTATTCTAAGAAGGTGAACTGACCTGCCCCAGATCCACAGCTACAGCCTAAGAGCTGAACTACAAAAAGAAATACTTTCTGCTTAACAAGTCCCTTTTCAAACTAATAGGAGTGAACAGAACGAGAGGGGTTAGGATTTGCCAAGATAGAAATGGGCTTGGAAAGAGGTTTGTCATCTAGAGCGTTGAGCTATTTCATGACAAGTCACTTTACCACCAGAGTGTCAGCATTTTCTCAGAAAAAAAGCAGCTCTGGACCGCAAACAACATTGTTTCCCCCTTGAAGCCACACAGTTTTGGTTCACAGAGTATATCCTCAGGCCTATCTTACACTGCACTGTTTGTGAAGGGAGAAGTGTTGCCCACATGCAAGCAGAATCTTAGGGTGAAAGGGCAGGCAAGGTCTGGAAATGCGCCCCTTCCTCTGAGGGGCTACCATGGTGAGCATATTTGCTCCATCTTGCCCACTCCATCCCCCAAATGACAGACTTGATCTGAAGGGCCTTATGGTTCACTACCTTCCTATTTTCTGCTTCCAGGTACTTATTGACATCCACATATCATATTCGAATACCCTTACCTAAATGGAATCATAATCTGTGCCTTGAAGGTGTTCATCCCTCGGGCAGAGTTAGTATTATTATATTCCATTTCAGAAGCTTAGAACATTGCTAGGTGGAGATGCAAGAAGGTGGTCAACAGGAAAATGAATGTCCAGAGGACGGGGGTGTCAGGGAAACTGACTTTCTACCATGGACTCTTTCATGTGATTGGATACATGTGTATAGCTCACTGAGTCAAAGAAGTCTATACAGTTTATCTTAAAATTTTTTAAAAAAGCATTTTCCGGGTTTGTGTTCTACTATAAAGACACATGCACATGTATGTTCATTGCAGCCCTGTGTACAATAGCAAAGACCTGAAACCAACCCAAATGCCCATCAATGATAGACTGGACAAAGAAAATGTGGTACATATACACCATGGAATACTACACAGCCATAAAAAAACGATTAATTCGTGCCCTTTGTAGGGACTTGGATGAATCTGGAACCATGATTCTCAGCAAACTGACACAAGAACACGAAGCCAGACACTGTATGTTCTCACTCAGAGGTGGGTGTTCAACAACAAGACCATGTGGACTCAGGGAGAGGAGCATCACACAGTGGGGACAGTTGGAGGGGTAGGGGAGAGACAGCAGGGGGTGGGGAGAGAGGGGAGGGTGGGGAGGGATAACATGGGGAGAAATGCCAGATATAGTATGCACCTAAAGTAAAATAAATAAATTAACAACAACAACAACAAAGCATTTTCCTATCTAGAAACCTTTTCTATTTGGAAGATCTACACATGATTCTGTAGCCAGGTTCATGGGAAAGATTTCCTTCTTTCCTTTCTCTATGACTGGTATGCTCTTATTTTCTCCAGGATTCCCCCAACCCTGCACCGTGATTCCCATACCCTTTTACAATGGGTGCTCAAAATCCACAGCATTCTATAATAACCACATACATCTGTTACATAGCATGGTTCACATAAATCTGGAATTTATCACCCCTTTGAAAATACACCCATGTCAGAAAACTTCAGCAGGAAGATGCTGCTTCGTGGTAAGGGTATGGGAAAGGCCATCGTGACTGGGAGAAAGAAAGGGAGTGAAATATCTGGGATACTGCATACTTTACCAGTTATGTCATGCTGTTTGAATGACTCACTGTAGATCTGATACTGATTCGGACAATGTTTCTTCAACCACTTGCAGACATCCTGCTGGGTCCATAGAGCCACTGGTTTAGACAGCTTCACCGTAGCTGACTATAAAGAAGGAAAAGAAGATCTGTCAACGCTGGCCCCATGCCTAGGAAGACACTGTAGTTAAAAGTCTTAGAGTATGTTAAAGGCTACAGAACAGATTCCCCTGAAGCTGAATATCTACTTATTGTCTTCCTCCTAACCTCTGCAGACCTTCTGAATACTGCTGAAAACCACAAAGAAAAGGTCTAGGTGAAGAAGTTGTAAAAATGATCTAACCATCTCTGCTGAGAAAAAATCCCAAGGAATCTCTAGGAAGTAGTGCTTTTAAATGAATACTCTAGCAAAAAAACAATGGGGTTGCTAAGCAATTAATTGCATTTTAGGGGAGAAATAGCTGGCCCCAAGCGCCTTTCTCTGTATTTCAAGAATGCATTTATCTCTTGCTGTCCTTGACATTTCTAGACCTAGTACAACACTGGCTGCTGCAAGTGCTAATAATTATTTTACGAATAAATGTTACTAGATTTAGAAGAACTGCAACTCTGTCTGGGGGCTCTGGACTTAGGGTGGCCCCAAAATGCCCAGGAACATTAGTTATACCAAAGTAGGGAAGCAAGAAGTCAGTTCCACTAGGATGTGGGAGAATGGTAATCAGATAATGGGGGCAGTTAGGCTTTAGATAGAAGTCAACTAAGGTCTTTTTTGGTTCACTGGATCTTTCCAGGAAGTACTTATGAGGAACACCCACACACCCACACACATGGAGTGAGAAGAGGTTAACCTCTGACCAACGATGGATTACAAATATCTTTATTAGTGAATAAGCATCAATTTAATGTCAGATGATGCTCTCCCACAGAGATCCCAGGAATTTGGTTTTGGCCAGATTAATGCTTCACTATCTAGAATTTTTATCATTCTGGATCAGTGTTTGCCAAAAAAGTAAGACTATCATATTGGCAGTTATTTAAAGGCTCCTGGGTAGTACAAAGACGTGGCCATTATTATCCCTGCTCTTCTCCAGAGGCATCATTTCCTTCTACTTCTCTATCAAATCTTTCAGATTAAGACAAGGGGAGAGCCTTCATTTGGTAGGAGTGTGATTGTAACACCTTCTGACATTTTTTGTTGTTGTTGTTGCTGTTGTTTTCTCTACAAAGAAAGGGCTTGCTTCCGTCTCAGAATCTTAAAAAAAAAAAAAAAGAAAAGCAGTATATCTAGCATCTAATAACTTTTTAAAAACATTAAAGAAACAAAAGTAGAGACAGTGAGTCATAGTGAAACAGTGGAAGTAATATGGAAGTGATTCAAGGTTGGAAAGCATAGTGGTCAGGTATTATTTTTTATTTGTCTATTTCCAATCGTATGAGTCCTTGGGCCTCGCTTACAAGATAATCACTATGCTGTAATCACACTGTGATTATTTTGTAAGTGATGGCCCAAGGACTCATACGATTGGAAATAGATGAATAAAAATCACTTTTTATTTTGTGCTGTGGTAATTTCTTTCTTTTACTAATTGTGGTAGATTGTGTTTTCCAAAGATGATTTTATATATGTTCATATATGTATGGTTTAATATAGACACACACACACACACACACACACACACACACACACACGTATCTGCTTTTCATTCAGTGGGACTGACATTTGTTCCACTAATACAGGGGGTTGATGCTCCCTCCTATTCCATTTCTGCAAGGTATGTGAATGTCATAACCAATACTATACAGTGGAATTGATGCTATGTGACTTCTGGGGCTAGGTCATAAAAAAGACACAGCTTCTGCCTGATTCACTCTCTGGCACTGACCTTTGGAAACCAACCTTCATGCAGTGAGGAAGCCCAGGCCACATGGAGAGACCATGTGTAGGAGTCTGGGCCAATTTGCCAGCTAAGGTCTCAGTTGACAGTCGTCATCAACCACCAGACAAATGAAAGAACAAGCTTCAGACGATTCCAGCCATCAGCCTTCAGATATTCCATCTGAGGACCCCAGATACCGCGATAGAGAGTCGAGCCATGTCTGCTGTCCCCGACTGAATCCCTGACCCACATAATCCATGAGATCATAAACAATTGTCTAATATCCCTAAGTTCTAGGGTAAATTATTTGGCAATCATAGTAACTGGAATACGTGGTGATGATGGCAGGGTGAGAGCTGCTATAACTTTGTGTTCCCCAGAGTGCCTTGCTTTCAGTAGATGCTGTGTACATTCACAAAGATGAAGTGAATGAATTAATGAAATTAAACACATTCACAGACATAGCCTGCTATTTAATCAGCAGTGACTTTGACGTTCATCCCTTGCTGCTCTACCTTGCTTGTGTTGTGCCTAGGTGGCTCCTAATCAAACATGCCTGCCTCTGCCTACAACCCTTCATACTGGAGTATGGGCAGCAGCCATTTCCCTTCTTACCTCTGTGAGAAATCGTATCGACGTTTCCTAATTTTGACGGGAGAGGAAGACCTTGGGCATGGATTGTATAAATGAATAAATGTTTTTGTTGTTGATGATGTTTAGATGTTTTCTTTATGCTCATCATCATGTCCTTTCCTTTGCACAAATTAGGAAGCTAGAATTTTAGATCCTTTAGCCAGAAAGGCACTTACCACCATCTTTTACAAGTCAGCACCGCTGAATCTAGTTCTTTCCTGCTCTACAAATTTTCTTTCAGATTAGCTGAATGAGTTTATAGCTGACACATCATTACCCTGAAACTCTTGCAAGTTTCTTGCAAGTAAAGCTAATCACATCTTTTGAAAACTCCTGTAAACCAGTCACAGAAGGCTGTAAATTAGGAAGCGAAAGGCAGAAAGATAAAGTTGCTTATGCATCAATATACTAAACTTTTTCCTTCTTGGAAGGTCATTCTTAATTTGCTTATTTTCTGGGAAAAGGAGGACCCTCAGCCTCAACTGGGCTTCAGGTGGAGATTTACTCAAATGCACCGAGCCGACTCAGAATGCAATCTCTGCAGCCCTCCATGTATGCTTTTGTTATAAGTTTTCCTTTTATCATGAATTCAGAGATTCTTAGGCTAACACTCAAGGAGCTGCTTTGCTTTATCCTTCAGAATATACTCTTACTAGGCATATATTAGTAAGCACATATACTTCAAAACTTTGATTTTTAAGACAGTATGAGTCTCGGTGCAGTGGCTCATGCCTGTAATCTTAGCACTTTAGGAGGCTGAGATCACCTGAGGTCAGGAGTTCAAGACAAGCCTGGCCAACATGGTGAAACCCCACCTTTACCAAAAATACAAAAATTAGCTGGGCATGGTGGTGCACACCTTTAATCCCAGGTACTCAGGAGGTTGAGGCAGGAGGATCGCTTGAACCCGGAAGATGGAGACTGCCTTTAGTGAAGACTGTGTCACTGTACTCCAGCATAGGTGACAGAGTGAGACTCTCTGTCTCAAAAAATAAAGAAAAAATAAAGACGGTATGAGCCTACGGAGATGCCTCCATGTAAACAGGCATAAGTAAAGTGTGTGTGTGGGGGTACTGTTTGTCTCTTCTTAATCAGACGGTAATAGAAGTATTGGTACGATTTATCAGATGATTGTCAGCCTTAGTGTCTTAATGAAATTACTATTAGTTTGCTACACCTTAAGAGCTGTAATGACTCATTACCCCAGTCTGCTGCTTCTTTCGGGATTCTCAGAGCTGACTTTAATTTGTTCTGCCTGACCTTCTCTTTTTGTAGCACCTGGGGTCAACCTCATTTACTCCTCCTTCCATCAACATTTCCCTCATCCCCAACAGGTACCAAATGGTGGGAGTGAATGCCATAACCTGATTCCTTTAAAGAGGTTACACTCCACTTCTGTGTGCAATTAGAACAACAAGAAGCATATGTTAAACCCACATCACTCAAATTCAACATATTGTCCCACTGAAGGTAGGAAAGGAGAGGCAGAGCTGTCAAAGCCTTCGACCGACCGCCTCCTTTCCTCCACATCCAATGCCTACACGCTCTTCACAGCCATCCCTAGATGATGACTTTCTCTGATATGCCGCTGGATTCCCACCCACCCCACCCCCCACCCACTCCCGCAGTAAGGGCCTAAGCCTAAATAATAATAGACCATAAAGCAAAAAAATAAGGCATTTCACATTTACTAGAAACAGTAAACTCATGAGAAAAAAACATCCTGCCTAACAGCAAACATTAAAACAATATTTGCTCCAGTTCTCTTTCTCTGTGTTCATGTCTACCATATCATTCTGTGAATTTACAACCCTGGAGACAATTTGGGTTTATTTTGCTGCCCTGAAAGAGGCCCGAGGCAGTTTGTTATCTTAACTCCTATGCATAGTGACATGAAGCAGAATTCCAGACATTTCCTTTCTGAATTGGTCCTGGACTAGCTATAGACAAACTGAAAGTGTGTTTCAGATGCCTCTCCTTTCTGATGCCTTTACTTTGTTTTACAGGAAGAACTCCCTTTATGCAAACTACACATTCCTGAGGGAAGGGTTGTTTGCGAATTACTTTTTTGGCAAACGATTTCTATTTTAATTTACTCATATAACAAATTCAGCTATGTTTTATAGTAATTTCTATTTGTATTTAACTGGAAAGAACTCTGAAGCATTAAGTTTTAAGTTCTCCAAGGTAAACTTGAAGCTTTTTTGCTAACAGAATAATTAAATGCTTTAAAGAAGCTTGAAATTGAAAGAACATATTGCAAAATGCTTTTAAAGTTAAATTTTTATTTTGTGATTCAATTATCCCTTAGCTTATCTGTTTTGCGATGTAAATTCTCTTTTAATTTACCAGGCTTTGATTTATAAGAGAACGCTACAATTGTAAGATCCCAATGGTTATACAAACTCTTACCTAGGTGATCCCAGTTGGTTGATTATAAAACAATAGAGAATGCTTAGAATGTTTACATTCATTGCCAGGACAAAGTGAACTTATGGCCAAATTTCAGAAAGTGGTAAACATATTTTTTAGTATCTCATTACAAGCAAGTGTTTGCAAGTTTTAAGAATTGCCTATTTCTTTCTTCCCCTACTATCTTGCAATGTCCTTTCTTTAG